GATTGTCTCAAGCTCCTGGTAAAATTATGGAGAGTGCTCCTCTTCGGGACTTTTTAAGGTCTTCTGACAGTGGCCTATCATCATCATTAACTTCTTCTTACAAACAAACCAATAACTTCATGCACTTATAAGGTAAAAAGTTCTTCACCAGTTTGTAATGGCATAAAGGCAAGAAATACAAAACAAGTGTCAATACGATCATAAAAACAAATCATTGTCACGGTTCTAAAATGTGAACTCTAACTAGCAAAGTGATATTCTCAATAGAAAACTATTTTATACTTAAAAGGTTCTTGATAACCTGCAGATAACTGAAGTTTCGTGATTTTTATGAGTGGAAACATACAAGAAGATTTGTGACTTTAAGAACAAATGGAGACCACACAGCTGCACAAATAAAACAACTCTATACCTAACCTTGCACGCAGTTAAAGAATGTGTATACGTTCAACTAAATAAAATAAGTTAAGTTGGCTTAGAGTACTTAGAGTAAAACATAAAATATAACAACTTTGAATTTAAAGAATAATATATGAAACTCAAATAAACTGTGCTAACCGTAGACAATTGAACAAACCCAAACCCACAACAATCTCTGGCTGGTAGAAGCACATAGGAAGACAATACCACTGCTTATCAGTAACGACCTTCTGGTTTCTCACTCGAAACAGAATGATAAATGACGCTTAGACAACTCTCACCTAAGGAGAGATAATACTCTAAATTTCAACCAATGACAACAAGAAAACAATTCTAGAGATTTCAGTAGACAATCTTGCAATATGCCAGTAATGACTGTACAGGAAATTCCATATTACGAAAGCACTGGCCACAATATACAACTGTCACAGATAGTAGCTATGATAAATCTGACAGGCATTTGCTATAGAGAGTTAACTTCGAAGTTTCATAAATAAACGACAATATCCTTTCGTAAACTAAGGAAAGAAACCTAAAAGAATTTAATATTTTGCTTACTTCTTAATTCATTAATCACAGCAGAGTAAACTAATGACAGGGAAACTGCCATAAACTTATTACTGAAACAATCACAGTTACAGAGTAATGTAAAAACTTGTTGTAATGTTCTTAAAGATAATACAACAACAATAAATCCAGGTTGTAATGTTTCTAGAAAGTTCTAGATTGGTCATAATGTCATCAATAGCTCGTCCAGTGTAGCTAGTTCAGTGCCTATAGTCGTTATGTTGTGCAGAGAAGTGAGAGATGCAACTTGACTCTTGGACTTGTTCTGTAATTCTTATTCAACTAAGTTATAAAATGAATACCTTCCTAACAGATCCATGATTGAAGCCTTGTAATAGAGCAAAGCCACATTACGCTATCTGCTTTGTTCACCGCAGGGAATAGAACCTCGGATTTTAGCGTTCTAAGTCGGTAAACTTACAGCTGTCCAACCGAGGATCACAAGTAGAAGAGCTTTCATGAACTGTTGTTGCATTATTTTGTTTTATTATGTTACGGTATTGATGTATACTTTTGCAATTATCCATAGGTAAGTATTTTATATATATTGATAGTAAACTAACCTAAGTAGACTGAACTTCTGGAAAGAAGAAAAGACTTGAAACTAGGAATGTCATTTTTTTCTTACTAACGAATGAATCATCTGACAAGATGAGTTTTACGACATTTGTATTTAAGAAAAATACTGCGTTAAGCATGACAACTGCAATGTCGTTACCGGAAAAATACTGTGTTAAGCAGGACAACTACAATGTCGTGACCGGAAAATACTGTGTTAAGCATGACAATTACAATGTCGTTACCGGAAAATACTGTGTTAAGCATGACAACTGCAATGTCGTTATCGGAAAATACTGTGTTAAGCATGACAATTACAATGTCGTTACCGGAAAATACTGTGTTAAGCATGAAAACTGCAGTGTCGTTACCGGAAAATACTGTGCTGATCATGACAACTGCAATGTCGTTATCGGAAAATACTGTGGTAAGCATGACAACTACAATGTCGTTACCGGAAAATACTGTGCTAATCATGAAAACTACAATGTCGTTACCGGAAAACACTGTGTTAATCATGACAACTACAATGTCGTTACCGGAAAATACTGTGTTGATCATGACAACTACAATGTCGTTACCGGAAAATACTGTGTTAATCACGACAACTACAATGTCGTTACCGGAAAATACTGTGCTAATCATGACAACTACAATGTCGTTACTGGAAAATACTGTGTTAATCACGACTTTTTATAATTTTCCTGGACACTGTTAGATGAGCTACATCGAAATAGAAACATCTGCAGCCCAAATGAAACAAACAATAAATCATCTTAGCAAACTAACTCATGGTAGTTTCCGGTGAATCAGAGGTAAGTTTACGAACTTATAACACACAAATCTGGGGTTCGATAACAAGATAACAATAACGGCCTCCATAGTAACGGATATCGCGGCAGATTAGTTAACCTTGACAACAGAAGTGTTAGTAAGAGTTTGTATCCAGGAGTAAGAAAAATAAATATGGTGACATATTCGAAATACTGTTTCCGACTGAGCGGAAGGTTGAAAAATATAAATATACTATAATACGTATACAATTAATTATTACTGATCGCTTATTTACACTATGCACAGCATACATATATATTATAGGTCATTAGAGATACGTGTTCAATACTCTTCTAATATTATTTACATCACTCACAGCATATACATATATTACAGGTCATTAGAGATATGTGTTCAATACTCTTCTAATATTATTTACATCATTCACAGTATATATATATATATTATAGGGCATTAAAGATATGTGTTCAATACTCTTCTAGTATTATTTACATCATTCACAGCATATATATATATTATAGGTCATTAGAGATATGTGTTCAATACTCTTCTAATATTATTTACATCATTCACAGCATATATATATATATTATAGGTCATTAGAGATACGTGTTCAATACTCTTCTAATATTATTTACATCATTCACACCATATATATATTACAGGTCATTAGAGATATGTGTTCAATACTCTTCTAATATTATTTACATCATTCACAGCATATATATATTATAGGTCATTAGAGATATGTGTTCAATACTCTTCTAATATTATTT